GCAGATTTGGTCGAGGATAACGAGGCTGTGGAGGAAACCCAGGCTCCTGGCCTTTTGATGTCACTGTCACCATGACTACACCACAGACGCTGTGCAGGGTGTGTTGCTTTCTGCAGCCCTTGGCTATTCTTCTGCCTTTCCCGGGATGCAGGAGCTGCCAGTTCCCTTCCCCCACCCCCATTCTTTCAGCCTGGGGAGCCCCGGCTCAGGATTCTGAGACTGAGCAGCTTCCCCAGGATGGAAGAGAAAGAACAAACCCCACTGGGGCCCTGGGGCAGAGAACGAGACCGCAGCCCCAACTGCCATCTGGGCACAGCTTCAACAGGTAGAAGGAGCCTGGGGTTTACAGAATCTGAGTTGTAGAACACCTTAGTGGGCATTCCAATTCACTTAATTAAAGAAATGATTAAACACCGGGAATAGAGCACTTAAGAAAGTGAGATAGTCCCTGCCCTCAGGAGCTTACTTTCTAGTTACACTCAGCCAGTGGGCACCTGGCCAGTCTGCCCAAGAGCTCCAGTGGCAGGGGAATCCCACTAGCTCCTGAGGCATCCCACTCCACTTGTGGATAAAACTTAGCTGTAAGGCAGAGTCACTTCTGTGACCATTGCCCCTAGGTAGAAACTAAACTCTATTCATACCTTTCTGTCTTGTGTGATTCTTGCCCTGGCTCTTCTGTACATGTAGCTCCCACTCCCAACACAGACACGAATTCTGTTTACATCACTGGCACTTGGGTCCAGCCTTCTTTCGTTGTACATGTCTTATGCCACTTCTTGTGGGCAAGTCATTATTGGCATTCTGTATGTGTTTTTGATTTTTCTGAGATGACATTCTGTGAGTCACAGATCCTTAAGTTAACTGTGTAACTGTGGGCAAGTTAGGTCTCAGTTCCCTCATCTGATGGCAACTTCAGCAGTTACCCATTTCTGTGGTGTCTTAAGCTTTGCTCACAACCATACTGTGAGGAAGGTACTTCAGGCTCCAGGAGATTATGATGGCTCTACTTAATGTCTGCAGGGAGGACCTTGCTTTCAATCATCAAAGTTCTGATGTAAACTACACTGCATCTCCTCTCAAGGTTGGCTTTCTCTGCTCTGAACTTTGGTTGAACTGAAAAAACTCCTCCCTGCCTTGATATTTCATTCTTCCATGCTATTCATGACTCATATTTATAGCGTACTTTTTAGGCCGACAAATGATTTTTCTCAATCATCTTGTGACTTAGGTAGTGTAAGAACCATAAGAATTAGCACCCAAATTATCTCCATTCTACAGATGAATAAAGCAAATGTCAAAATTCATGTAGTTAATATCAGTCCAGACTTGAATTGGGTCTAACTCCCATGTCTAATGCTCTTTCCGTTACACAAGTTTCCCCTCAAGTTCAAAGGGAAAGATTTGAATGAATAGTTCACAATCATAGCTTAGTCCTGGCCCAATGGCAAATTTAATAAATCCTATGGATTAGACTTTTTTCTATTCCATCTAGAAACATCCCTCTCCTGAAGACCCTAAACTTCAGTAGAGTTGCAGGATTAGGTCGACCCCAGAGCAGTGAGGATGGACTGGCGTCTGGAATCTGGATAAAATAGAGCTTGTCAGAGGGTAGATTGAGAGTTCTGGAAATCATCATACAAGAAAGGACAAAAGGAAATGGCAGTGTTTAACCTGCAGAAGAGAGTGTGTGAGGGAATTGGGAAAGCTATCTTCTAGTATCTGAAGGGCTTCTGAGGGGAGAGGGAGGACAGCTGGGGGGGCATAGCTAGGACTAATGAGGGAGTTCCAGGGAACTAGATGCAGAAAGTTCTCCATTTGATTCTGACAACCATCTGAGTGATTCACTAGTAGCCCATGGTCTGACACCGTAGGACAGTAAACATGCTGTCACAGGGGTGTCCAAGAGGCCCAAAACAACAAAGGTTAAATGACCGCAGGGAGGGTGAGTGGTGGATCTCTCTCTCTTTCTCTCTCTCTCTCTCTCCAAAACACCTTCCAACTTTAAGCCTATAACCTGCCAATATACCAGAATATTCACAGGACTTTTTTGTCAGGGGAAAAAAGTGGAAACACCAAGTTGTGGCATATTAATGCAATGTCATTCCTCCCCCGCTTTTGCTGGATCTGTGATTGCCTGCATATGGGGAGCTTCTTTTCCAATGCAGATCAGTACCTTCTCTCAAGCTCTTTCAGGCTGCCAGGGGCACTGATTTGCTTAAGGTGACAAAGCCAGGAGTGTCTGTCAGAGGTGGATTTGAATCCAGTTTTCTTGAATTCCAGGCTGGCTCTATGTGCACTATGGAACAATGCCTGCCTATTGGAATTAAAACAATGAGGAGTTTGGAGAAACATGGGAAGATTTATGAACTGATTCAGAACGACAAAAGGCGAATCAGTAGACAGATATATAAGTGAAAACACTGAAAGGCAGCTTCATTCATCTTAATTGGAATGGTCAGTCTTGATCCTGGAAAAGAGATGATCAAACATACTTCCTTCCTCTCAGTAAAAAGATTTGGGGATTGTGGTTGAAAAATGTTACATATGCTGTCAGGTATGGTTAATTTGTCACTTGGTTTTACTAACCTGTTCTTGCTATAAGGGAAGGCTCACTATGTGGTAGTGGTGAGTTATGTTTGAAAAAGACAGTTGCCATAAAAGGAAGACACCAAAAAAGTCTGAGCTACGTGGCCTAAATGCATTTTTTGTGCCAGGTAGATTAAGCTAAGTCATAACAACTCATATTTATACAGTGCTTAGTTAAGGTTTACATAGGGGACACTTCCAGAATGGGTTTTTATTATAACACTAAAAAGAAGTCAGATCCTAACCCCAGATCTCAGGTCTTTCAAGTTCTCAGTGCTAAAGAGACTAAACTCCTTATGGTAGACAAAGTGTAAGGGAAGGAAATGAAATATTTACAAAGAGAGGAAGAAACAGAAACAAGTGATAGTTTATGGGAAAGTGCTGAGAATACCAATTACCTTAGCTGCCCTCAACCATTTCAAATATACAGAGCCCATGCCACTTCTGTGGCCTTTCTCATCCTGAAGGATCCCTCCACCCCTGCTGCTTCCTTCATGTATAGTCGTCCTCAGTAGTGGTCAAAGTGACTCACTGGAACATGTTCCATGCTTGCACACTTCCCAGAAATTCACCCTAGGGGATGCCAGCTGGCTTGGTATTTATAATATACTATTATATTTTATAATTTAGAGACAGCTAGGTGGCATAGAGGATAGAGTGCTAGATTTGGAGTCAAGAATACACCTAAATTCAAATCCAGCCTCAGACACATAAGCTCCTCGTGATATCTGCTCATAAGTCTAAGGTCAAGTAGGCCCTGGAAGCTTCCTCCTTCGTCCGCCTAAGGCTGGTTTGACCAAATTTCACATAATCTGTTAGAATATTAACAAGAAGAGAATAAAATAATAATGTTTCATTTGGATTTCTGTTCAGTCATCTAGACCAACCCTCTTCTAGCCTTGTCATTCCCCGAACCAGTATTGTTTTCTATGAGTGAAAGGACAATTAGAACAATAATGCTCAATGATACTGTTTCTGAAAAAGCAATGCCTTTTTTGGGGGAAGGGAGAAGAGAGGTGGGGAATCCAGTCTTCAGGTATTAGAGAGATGAAGGAAATGATATTGGCCATTTAGAGGACATTCAATAGCCATTCAGAGTCAGGAAGCCCAGGCCTGATTCCATGTAATGCTTGTTAGAGTGGGGCAGAAACATCAGGTCCCTTCTTCCCTTCAACTGAACAATAATTTATGGATGTCACTAAGAGATAGGATGTGAGAAGTCTTCTTTTTCTTCTGTCCAACCAATGGTATTACATAACCATGTCAACATCCACACTCTCACCAAACAAACATTCAGAAGCATCAAGATCTCTCTACTTGGGACAGAACAGAGCTGTTTCATTAAAAGAAAGCATGAAGAGAGAGAGAGAGAGAAAGTGTGTGTGTGTCTCACACTTAGGTTGCCCAGGGCAGGCTTCAGAAAGGTTAGTATGCTATAGCTGTTAACCTGTCAGCCCAAAGCAGGAAATCCATATTACAGGTAGCAAGATAAACAAAATGGATATTTGCATAATGAAAAAAAGGTAAAGAAGTGATTTGGTGACCTCAGACGTGGACACAGACCTTCTGGTATAGGCCACTTCACAGTGAAAGGCTAGGAATACAGACTTCTAGAAGAATCAATGATCAAAAGGAAGCCTAGTACACTAAGCACAGACGCCTACAGACAAACCAGCAAAGATCTGGTGACAAAGGAAACGTCACTGATGCAATGAATACCATCTGACTAGAGACTTGGGGGGGGGGGGGAGGCGGCAGACTGGCCCAAACACAAAAAGGTCCCATTCCTCTAAAGACCTGAAGTTTCAGCCCAGGATTCAAGAGGAGACTGGTAGGGAAGAAGAGATTAAATCTCAATTTAGCCTCAGCATATGCATAACATCTGTTATGTTAACTGAATGAACTGGACTACTGTAGACCAGGATATGTATAAGAGATTCCACTAAACATGGTAGAAAATTAGAAAGGCCAAAACCTCAGGCAAAAATTTTCCTGTTCTTTTTATTATTTGGGTGATAGCAGCAAGCTAGGAACCCAAGATTTGCCAGCAATGGGCCTGAGGTGCTATACCCATTTCATTACAAGTCCATGAAGGCAGGGAGGATCTGTGCTTAGTATAATCAATATTTCAGCATGAATCTGATCCCCTAACAAGATTAATGTCATTTCCTATAATGTACTATTTCCACATCAGCCTAAAAATAACTTACTTGCTTGTTTGTTTATTTAGTGGGGTGAGAGGGGGAAGCAGAAATGAGAAGATCCTTTGTGTGTTGAAGTGACAGAACTGCTAATTGCAGAGACCTGGAAAATCTTTTGGATTGTTAAGTAGCTCAGTAATTAGCTGAAGTGATTTTTATTAGCTCCTTGGACCAGAGGTGGTGGTGGAAATAAAGACAGGGAAAAACAAGATGGTCATTGTTCTTGTTAAATTTTATTGGCATCACGTTCATCTCTTTACAGAAGAACTCAGCCCACACCCTAGAATGTAGACCTCTGGAAAATAGGGAGAAGTGCTCCATGTAAGCAAGCTACAATGCAGGAACAGATACTAGGGAGGGCAGCTAAACTGTAAATTTCTCCATACCAAAGAAACAGTAATATGGGCAATACTGGGGCAGGAGGAGAGGGAGGAGGAACAAGTTTTCTAGCCTAAGAATACCACAACCCAGAAAGGAGCGCCTTCTAGAACAAAGGTAAAATCACTAGAACGGATCTGTAGATTTTCCTTTTTTACTTTCGTAGAATGCTGATTCAGTGGAGGTTTTAAAATGTGGAGCAGGGAAAAAACAAGAAGAATTTTAAGACCTGCAAATGGTCTCCATTAATCCATTGCACACATCAATGTGTAACGCCAATCACCCTTTTGAAAATTTAGACACAGAAATGTAACTAGATAACCCCCCTCCCCCCACCAAGGAGATGAAAAGCTTTTTGGCTCTTAAGTCTTCAATAAAAAGGCTTACGTAATTCTTGATTCTACTGTACAGAATACTGCCTCTAGCTGGACTTCAAAATTCTGTATTGCTAGCACTCTGCAATCCAGAACAAAGTTCTCCCCTCATCCTACATACCTGCATTACAGGACTTAAACACATAATCCAAGAATTTCTTACACTAATTTATACATTTTAATTGGTTGCATATATTAACATGTACTATAAGATTTTTCCTAAGAAGCATTACATAATAAATGGATACTGTAAAAAGATCTGATTAGTTAAAAGTAACAAGCATTAACAGATACATACAAAACTCCACCTAGTTAAACTGGGTGTGAGCTTGCAATGAACTATGGGTAACCAGCCTTCCCAGGTGCAGCCTTCACAAGGAGGAAGAAAAAAATGAGACAGTTTAAAAAACCAGGTAACTAATTATACACAGATTAACTGTCAACAGTTTTTCTCCACTGGATGAATGGAAATGTTTCCAATGTCAAGCCCACATCAGAACTAATTCTTTCCACAAATGACCGGTCCTGCTAGTGTACAGAACAGCTGATGTGGAGGGGCTGACATGGAGCTGTGTACAGAAATGGGATCATGTTTGCTCGTGGCAGATTTGGGTGACATTTTTTGGCAGCTGGAAATGGGAGAATTGATTTCTTGTTTGTTTGACTAGGAGAGGGGGCTTGTGTCTGAAGGCCTAAGTGTGATATTCGTTTGTGAAGGGCTCTGTGCTCTACCCGCAGCCTCTTCAGCAGCTGCAGCTTTCAGCAGAAGCCTTTGCTCGGTCGTTCTTGTCCAGTTTGATGGGCTCCGGGAATTCATTGTACAGTTCCACCTCCGTTTCCTGTGTGGGACAAAGGACAAGAAAAGTGATGCAGAAGCAGCCAAATAACAGTAAGGCAACTACATGCGGGAGGAGATTTGTTTTCAGGAACCTACCGTCAGTAACCTCTGTCAAAACCCAACTAACACAGACAACAATGACTTCTGTGTCAGTATGCTGGCAGTTTAACAGAAGGGGTGGAATTTTCCCCAAGTGTCTAGAAATGATCTTGATCTCCTACCCCACAGCACTTTTCTCTTTGTTATTCTTCTCTATAACGCTGTTTGTCCCCCCCCCACTACGTTCTTAGCTTCCTGAGGGTAAGAGACCACCCAATTCTAGTTGGCAGGCATTGGAGAGACAAATACCAAACACAAAACTACACTGGATCTCCCCCGAGAAGCTAATATCCTTTTTTTTTGGGGGGGGGGGCTGGGCAATGGGGTTAAGTGACTTGCCCAGGGTCACACAGCTAGTGTTACATGTCTGAGGCAGAATTTGAACTCAGGTCCTCCTGAATCCAGGGCAGGTACTCTATCCGCTGCGCCACCTAGCTGCCCAAGAAGCTAATATCCTACAAACCCAACATACAGACAATGAAGGAGTCTCGGGAAGCAGGGGGCACTGCACAATGGGAGTGGGAACAGGGTGGGAGTCCTGTTATGGAGGAGGTAGTAGCAGCTCAGCTATGGTTTTAATTAAGACCATGTAAATTCTACAAGGTGGAAGGGATATGGGGGCAAAAGCCTTTGTTGCCAAGCCAAGGAGCTTGTACTCAGGTGTGTCAAAGACCTTTCTGGCAGTCCGCTGAAACCTATCTACCCCTTATCAGAAAAATTTTTGTGTTTTTAAAAATGTACAATTTAAAGACATGCTAAATTTCAATTAGAAGTTAGTGAAAATAAAGCTGTGATTCTGTATCCACTTCCCCACCCAAATTCACAGACTTTAGAAGTAAAGAATTCTCTGAAGAGGCAATAGGAAGCCTTTACAGATTTTTAAATACAGGGGTGATGGTCTGCTCTACATCTTAGAAACATTAATTCAGCAGCTGTGTGGAGGATGGAGTAGAGGGGGGTAAAAATGGAAGGCAGGAAAATAAGAGGCCACTGCTATGAAACTGATACAGGACAAATGCTGTAAACGGAGAGAAAGGCGAGACAGCTGTCCAAGATTTGGCTACTAATTGGATATTTGGGGGGGTGGGAGGGTTAAAAACTCCAAGATTGTGAACCTGGGTGACATGCCTGGGGACATATCTAAACTCTTGTATCCTCTACAGGTCCTTATATGTAGTAGGTGTTCAAATTTGGTTGATCAAGTGATGAGGTCAAAATATCTATCATTATCATATTATAATAGATGAAACATTTAGGATATTCGGGTAAAAAGCAATTAAAGTAAAATCAGTAAGACTATGTTTCAAGGGTGGGAATGCTACGTCAACCATTTTGTCCATACAAAAGGCCTAGAATGCCAATCCCCAGGCAGATCAGTGGTTAGAGTCACTAGAGGGAGACAGATCGTTCCCTGATACTTACCTGTTTAAGTGCATTTCGTGCAATGGTTTGGAAAGCCTGCTCCACATTGATGGCTTCCTTGGCACTGGTCTCAAAGTATGGGATGTTATTTTTGCTGTAGCACCAGGCCTGTGCTCGTTTTGTGCCAACCTGTCAGAAGCAGAGGAAAGGCAAGATCTAAATGAGGCTTTGGTCTCATAAATGGTTCTGAATTATATTTAAAAGATTAAAATACACGCTCAACACTTACATATGGATGGATGTATGCATGATATGAGAGAGGAGGGAGCAAAGGAGTGGGAGACAGAGAAAGTGCACCCAACAAATCTCCTATTGTGGAGATCAGTTGAAACTTTGGGAGTACTACAGTTTTTTCTAAGGTGTATGGGAGAGTATTAGCAGCTCAAATAAAGTTTGTGGCTTTAATGAGTTATATCAGTTATTATATGATACCTAATCAGGTTCTATTGGCCACAAAAGATATTTTACACAGACTCTACACCAGCTACTACCGTTAACTATCTTCTGCCTAGCAGCCTTCATGTCCTTAGGAGGTCCCTGGAAGCTGAGAGGGTCTGGGGGTCTGTTTACTGCCAGTGTTATTTCAGGCCCACTGATGAGCATCCTAAAGCTCCAGAATAGCCATATGCTCCTGGCATGGCCTCGGTGGGAAAGAAAGCTGCCTCTGGACAACAGTGGGAGGAGAGGCTACCAATAAGATCAAGACGTGAATGGAATTTAGTTAAAACCAGAAAAGCTTGATGCTCCTTGAGTATTTACCAAGCTCACTTCCTCCCCCCCCCCCCTTCCTGAACTGACTCTACTTTGGACAATTACCACCATTCTTCTTCTTCTTCTTTTTTTTTTTGCTGAGGCAATTGGGGTTAAGTGACCTGCCCAGAGTCACACAGCTAGTGAATGTTATGTGTCTGAGGCCGAATTTGAACTCAGGTCCTCCTGACTGAAGGCCCGTGCTCTAGCCACTGTGCCACCTAGCTGCCCCAATTACTATCATTCTTGTCAGATAATAATTGGCAAGCAATTCCCATCTTAGGCTAATGGGAGATAGGGAGCCATTTCTCTGATGGTTTTAATAAACCAGCACCAAGAGCGGGATCATGTCCAAGAACCTAACTTTCATTAGTCAGTGTTCTTGTGTTTGTATCACACCACATTCAAGAAAGAAAGGCTATAGCTCAGCTCATCCCTAGGCAGGTTTCTGCAAAAGCCCAGTTATTAGACACATGAAGAAAGGGGAAGCCTTTCCTTCTAAAGTGCTGCCCCCACTTCACTCAAGTGTAAAAAGCAAGGCTCAAGACCTTTCAGTGCTCTAAGCATGAAGCCCTTTATCCAAGTCTGGCTGCTTCAGGTGATTCCTCTAATCCACATGTTTGCTATATACATTTCACATGGTACATTTTTAAAGATTCAAAAATTGAGGCTTTTCCCATCTTCTAAGTGAGAGAAGGGCACATCACTTACTTGTCTGTTTTCTAGGTCAATCTTGTTTCCCAATACAACAAAGGGGAAGTTTTCAGGATCCCTGGGACTGGCTTGGATGAGAAATTCATCTCTCCAGCTGTCAAGAGTTTTGAATGTGTTAGGGGCAGTCACATCAAAGACCAGGACGCAGCAGTCTGCTCCTCTGTAGAAGGCCACACCGAGGGACTGAAATCGTTCTTGCCCTGCTGTGTCCCAGATCTTTGGGAGACAAAGGGTTTATCTGTCAGTTATTTGTCAGAACATTGTACAACACAAATAGTTGGGGCATAGAAGAAAGGAGAACACAAAATGACTGTTGCTATTACCATCACCCAGAAGAAATCAAAGCTGGCCCTGTGATTAAGAACTTCAAATCAGAAAAATGGATGAGCAACATTTGCAAATGTAATGGCCCTTGAGAGGGAGAGATTTTGGGGGTAGAAGAGAAAATAAATGGAAACTAAAACACAAAACCCACAATCTTTGGAATGTAATAACCTAGTTCAAGTAGCTCAATGCTCAGCACATGTGTCCTCAGGAAGGAGGCAACATCTATGACTATAAGAGAAAAGTCACTGTCCACAGATCATTAGGCAGGGGCAGCCAGATCATGCTTCACTGAGGAAAGGACAAAATAGCTTTAGATATAAAGTCATAACTGCAGTTTTCCAGGCAAAAGCAACCCCTCATTTTTGTGGAAGGCCTGTGGACAACCCCCTAGTTCTCTCATCTACCCTTCTGCCACTAACCTACCGTTGCCAGAATGCCTACCAGGCTTGAGTTCACACAAAGGGATGTGATGTAACCTCTTATGATGTTTGGTATACCACTAAAATATGGATTAGATAAAATTATGAAAATTTCCATGTTTCCAGAAGCAACATTAATACTCTACATCTAAGAAATCAGATATATCTGTACCCATTTCTATGGGAAATACAGAGTACCTCCTTTTAGTGTTTGGGGGAGAAATTCCCCATTAATGATTCTGGTGAGCAGAAGGTAGGGATTTTATTACTATTATTTACCATTAGTCAGAAGGCATCAATAATGGCATGGCTTTTATTCATGGGTTTAACTTTATTTCTAAATACAGTCCATTGTCTTACCTTGCCAAAAAAACATCCCCAAAACAAATAGAACTTGGTTCCTTTGCCAAACCAAACATCTACTATATTTAATTATGTTGTAAACAAATGAGCTTGATGAAAATCGAATCATATACCACTCAGCATTAGCCCTACATATATTATTTCAGACTACCGAAACAAGCCCAAACCTGAAAGGGCCTAAGTTCTGCTACTTAGCACACTTTTCACCAATGTACACACTCCTAGGCAAAAAACCCACGATGAACTGAATCAGACTTCAGAGGTCATTAAGAGTTAACATGTTCTGGGGAGAGTTAAAAGACATATAGCATCAAGCTACAAACTAAAAGAAATCAGTTCATCATATATGACACACCTGGCTCATCGCCACTAGCCAGGAACCGTACTAAACACCCAGTTGCAGGACAAATAATGGTTATGGAATATAGATGTAGCTAACCCAACAGCAATGAAGTGGGATAACTACAAGCGAGGAAGGCAGAAGCAGCAGCTTAAAGGATTTAAAGTAAGAGTGTTAAGAACTTAAAAGCCTAAGGACGCCTGTCATAACATTGTAAGAATGAGAGTAGACTTCTCAGAGAGAAAAAGAACTAGTAGTTCTATACTCGCTTTTGAAGTCCTAACTCTACATGATCTTTGGAAAACAGTCTCTTGTGCCACAAATGTAACGTACTCTAGTGGTCACATACAGGTTACCTATCGGGCAGAAGAAGAGATCAGGAGCAGAGAACTAGAAGGATCTTGGGATAGTCAAAGTACATGGTGATTGGTAGATCTGATATGACCAAGAACAAAACATTAAGATTTGATGTGAAAGAGTATGAAGAGAGCCTAGAATAATTTCAAAAGGGAGAACTATGTCGAATCACAAGAAAAACTGGGAATAGGTGACTTCCCACAAGTCATGCAGGAAAGAGAGATTTTTTTATCATGTGAAGCACTTAGAACCAGGTTACCAAGTGATGGGAAACATCTCAAATAGGCCTACCATCCCATCACAAAGTGTTTTTAAGGTATTTTTGTAACCTAGTCTAACCTCATCATGGAGGATCATGTAGTGAGGTGACCCTGATCGATGCCAAAGTTGGCCTAGAGAGTTTTGTACTTATCCACAAAACAACATGAAGGACTGACTGATAAACTGTCTCGCAGATAAGAAAGTCACCTGCTCTCAATTTCCCACACTTGGGAATGTGCTGTCCAATTGCTAACCAAACAAATTCTTTCTAGAGGGATCGAAAGGGCCTTAAAACACTTTCAAGTTAAGCTAGATCACTAGCAGAAACACTAGAGCAGAAGCAAATCCTGTATCCAGCATTCTAAGTATCAGAATTATATCAGAAGATAGAAGTGCTGATGTAAACTGTTTTAGGCCATTCTTGATCTCTTTTGGTAGCGAGATTTGAAAAATCAAGAGGGACTGCTCTTACTTTTTGCTACTCACGGGCAGGAGTAGGAGAGGGCAGGGCATCACTAAAGACCCGTAACACGTGAAGTTGCTTTACCTGCATCGTCACTAGTCTGTCATCCACCATCACTTCCTTCGTCAGAAAGTCTGCTCCTATTGTTGCTTTGTACTGATTACTGAATTTCTTGTTCACATACTGGTTCATGAGTGAGGTCTTACCCACCCTAAAATGGAAGAAAAACCACAAATAAGAGCTGACTCGCAAAGTGGGGCAGAAAAGAAACTACAGATTTGAACCTACAGATTACTCAGACTACGCTTTAAGCCCCTTCCCACAACTTCTTTTTTTGATCAGAAAGTGCTCCTAGAATCACTCAAGTGCCCATGTACTTGATCCTGCCGTTCAGTAGTCACCTCAACCCCAACCCCACCCAACCCACAAGAGTTCAGGGTATTTGGAACTCGCATATATTCTCTAAGTGACGCTACTTAACTGTCAGACCTAGGTTAGGGAGGATACAAGAACCAGGGTTCAACGTTTTCTTGTTGATTCTAAAGGCAGCATAAGTAAAGGAGCCACTATTCCAAAAATACCAATTCGATTGTGAATGTTTCCCAGGTAAGTGACTGATATATTTACTTTACTGAAGCTGCACTACTGGCTAAGAATTGGCTCTTATGGTAGATCAGAGTTGTGTTATAAAACTTAATCTACAGAGGAAGAGAAAAAATGTCAACGAATAACCCTTTGGTAAGTGGCTAAGTACCACGCCTTGTGAATGGAAAGTGAGAAGGTAGAGAGGGAGGAAGGAAAAGAAAAGAAAAAGCAAGAAAGAGTCTCTACTCAAAAGGCTTACATTCCATCAGGTAAGGAAACACACACACACACACACACACACACACACACACACACACACACACA